AGTACGATGTGTGAATCTGATGATTCGTCAGGCACATTTTCAAAGGAACTGTGATTTTAGATTGACTAACCTATTCTCCTGCCAAGGCAACTTCCCCGCTTTCCGCGAGTTGAAAGAAGGTACGGCCCAGAGGACGTAAAACAGAGGCACCAAATGAAGATCAGATTAGACAGGGTCGGCAATACAGGTACAAGAGCTTTATCAGTGCACACCATATTGCAGACTGTTTCATGCCCCTTGCAACGGCTGTAATCCTCACGGCTATAGTCCTCATGCCCGTCTACTGTTGCGTGTATATCGCTCGTTAAAAGACGCGAAAAGCTTGATTAAAAGTCTAGACAGGACTTTGGACTCGAGCTGAAGGCGACGCTTGCCTCCAATTGGAACCGAAGATCGTCATTAGCCGTTCCACTCGGTGGAGACGGGTGCTATCGAATGGAGACATATTTTTGGATTATTCTTGGTCAAATTAGTCGTCTGTGACATTCTCTTGAGCTCTTCGGCTGAGGAGGACTGAAGCCATCATCGCGGTCGGGAACAATAAGCAGTAGAGGGTACCAATACAATGCTGGTTCTGCTCCTGCGGCCCTGTCGGGCAAATCCGTTGATGAGATCAACGCCTTTGGCATACGGGCACCGTGCATAGCGGTTGCAATATCATGGTGGTTCGACCGTTCTGACTTGTGACTTTGGTACGTATTAGTCGGTCTTGGGAGGTTTGAGAGAAAGCCTTATGGCTCCATTTATTCCAGTTTAGCTATTAGTATAATACACCCGTGTTATTGCTGCCGTTGAAAGCTGAGCGACCAAGTCTCGGTGGAAGGGAGAGAAGAAGAGTGATGAATAGGAACGCCACTAGCTGCTTCCCAGTTAGCCACGACCGCATCTAAGGACTAGGTTCGCTTTATATGACGCAGTTTCCAAGAATATCTAGATAGCATCTGTCAGCTGATTAGGGACTTCTTGTTCTCGACTTATCGAGATTCGGTTGGTCGATGCAGTGGAATCTTATTATGTCGCCATATTTCCAGAACATATGGAAAAGAGAGGATGCCTACAGAAATTTCTATACAACCAAATGACTTGTGGAAGTGATAGTGCCAAGCCAGCACTTTGTGGTTTCACCATTAGCGATTTGGAGCACACGGTAAGAACCTTTGAGAATACCAAACGGATCCAGCATTAATCGATAGGTTCGTCGTGACCTGGAAAGATCGCTGAAAGGGCCATATATTTCAGGATGTTAACGATGGTCATTTGCCTTTTAGAAATCATACCTGAACCGTATATTGCAATGCCCCTAGATCCTTGTATTGCACATGGGGTGTCTTATTTTATTGGTACTAACTCCACTCCTATTACCAAGAGAATAGTTGGGAGATGTGAGAATGCTGATGGGGAGATGTAGAATAGGTTAGTCAATCTAAAATCACAGTTCCTTTGAAAATGTGCCTGACGAATCATCAGATTCACACATCGTACT